AAGCTGGACCTAAATCTTTGCCTTAAGTGGTTTACCAACATGGAAACTCTTAGCGCGCAAAACCCCTGGTATTGCAAACAGTGCGAGCAGCACCGACAGGCATACAAGAAATATGACTTTTGGCGTTTACCCGAGGTCCTTATCATTCACCTTAAGCGTTTCCGTACAACATTCCCTATGCAGAGAATCAACGAATTCGTGGATTTCCCAGTTGAGTGAGTTTGCTTTCAATTTGTATTCTCGCCACTCTTAGACCTGTTTTGCCTGCTCATGAACAAAGCCACTTGCAATCGCGTATTCTTGTCTCTTTTAGAGGCCTCAAAATACTTAATTCGGGGCACATATATGACCTTGTTGCCGTCAGCAATCACTTCGGTGGACTCGAGGGAGGACACTACACTGCGTATGCTAAGAACCAAGACGACAAACGCTGGTACAATTTCGACGATTCTTATACCCGTCAGCTATCCAAAAGTCGTGTAGTAGTACGTTTGTTACATTTTGATGCATGCTGTTCACTTGAATGAAAGTGCAATTTGAATAGTACCTCTGTAGGCCCTCAACATCTGCAAGTAATTGATTAAGTAGGATGATAATAGCCACTTTCATTTTAATTTCTCTTCTGTATATGCAGATGTTGGGTGTAATGTAATGTTAATGACGGACATGGCTTTTCCAGTATATCCGACCATCCCAAATCTATACTTCTACACTTATATAAGGGAAGCCATTTTTTTGCACTTTCTTTCTCATTGGGAAAAATTTTGAGATAGCCAATGCTATCGGTGACACTTTTTCCATAAGATATATCCAGCCATCGTAATCCAATACTTTCACACTTCCATACGGATATTCATTTCTGCATTTTCTTACTCAACGAAACATCGTACATTAAGGACATAGCGTGTGTTCTACACGAAGAGTATTATGCATTTTTTATTCCGTTAAACCCCCCTGCGCCACTTGGCTAAGTGGCTTTGGACCATGATGGCTGCAGAGTTTGTGCCAATCCAATGGTCTATCGTGTTTAAGGCCTTCCATGTGCCCCACAGGGGAATGACTACAGGAACGATTATTTGCTTTTGAAGTATACTAAAGTGATAGGAGACTTAGGCGACATCTACCGCATTCTCTCCTCCCAGATTAATCCGATGTCATAACACGACCAAGAAGCATGTGCAAGCAAGTGCAACACAGTGACGAAGGCTGGATTATAGTGAAATAGACTCGCCGGATAAACCCTACTCTCTGACAACTCCCACACCCGAAACCGATGTCCAGATAAAATTTGAAAAAAAAAACGCAGAAAGAGAGGGTGCAGGTGGTGTGCTTGAAACGCACTCCAAGACGGGCCACAGCAACACAAACTGTCTAGGTAGAGCCTTGCCTGGGAGCGCCATAAAGA